CTAAAATAAAGTTGTAACATTCTGAGAATAAATTTGCACCAATACAATATTGTAACGTTCCCATAATAAAGTTGTAACATTACTAAAATAGAGTCTTAACATTTGTAGAATAAAGTTGTAACATTCTGAGAATAAATTTGCACCAATACAATATTGTAACGTTCCCATAATAAATTTGTAACATTACCAATATGAATTTGTGACAATACTAGAATAAAATTGAAACATTGCCAGAATAAAGTTTTACCAACACAAAATATAGTTTAACATTCCTAGAATAAAGACGCAACATTTCTATAATAAAATCACAAAATTCTTAGAGTTAAGTGTTAACATTCCAAGAATAAAGTTGTAACATTCCCAAAAAAGGTTACGTGAACAAAGATAAAATAGTGTGATAACATTAATCCTGTGATGTCATAACATTATGATATTACAGAATGATGTCATAATGGGTGTCAGAATAAATATATAACCTTATGAGAGTAGAATCCTAATTTAGCCAGATTAAAGCTGTAACATTACCAGAATAAAATGGTAACAATACAATATGGTAACATTCCCATAATAAAGTTGTAACACTCCTAAAATAAAGTCTTAACATTTTTTTAGAATAAAGTCATAACATTCCCAGAATAAATTTTTAACAATACAATATTGTAACATTCCCGTTCTAAAGTTGTAAAATTACCAATATAAAGTTGTAACACTCCCAGAAAAAAGTTGTAACAATCCCAGAATAAAATCGTAACATTCCTAGAATTGTACATTGCCAGAATAAAGTTTTACCAACACAAAATATAGTTTTAACATTCCTAGAATAAAGACGCAAAATTCCTAGAATAAAATCATAAAATTCTCAGAGTTAAGTGTTAACATTACCATAATAAAGTCGTAACGTTCCTAGAATAAAGTCGTAACATTCCCAAAAACATTACGTGAACAAAAATAAAATAGTGTGATAACATTAATCCTGTGATGTCATAACATTATGAAATTACAGAATGATGTCATAATGGGTGTCAGAATAAATATATAACCTTATGAGAGTAGAATCCTAATTTAGCCAGATTACAGCTGTAACATTACCAGAATAAAATGGTAACATTACAAGAATAAAGTTGTATTATAACCAGAATAATGCCTTATGTTATAAACGCAGAGAAGTAATCTACTTTAATCCCTAAGAAGAAAGCTTAGTCTTCACTCTGAGATCAAAAGTTTCACTCTGGATGCTGATTGGATGATCTCGGGTTAATAACTCTAAGCTTTCATCTTTTTAAGGTTTTTTTTTTTTCTAACTTTATATTGTGTCAACTTTATTCTCACATTTTTGTAACGTTATTTCCTAGTTTCATGGCATATGTCTTGTTTTGTTTTTATTTTATTCTCCTAATTAATAAAATCTCAGTATAACTCCAGTTGTTGGTCCCACTCCCTTCACTGCTCATATTGATTATTTAATACTTACTTTTAATGTATTTGATTTGTTATTTGTAGTTTCAGATTTAAAACAAACGAGACAAAAAGCTGCGAGATCTGTTTGAACAGCGTAGATGAAACACTAATGTCAGCCTGTGATGAAAAACTGCTTTCCTGAGAACTTGCTAATCATTTTATTTACTAAAAAGATGCATGTAGGAAAATAAATCAATTAAAGTCACACATATAACAGTGACTGTGCTAAAAAAGTATAACTCCGTAGTCCTAAAATCTTTGTTTCATTTTGGTCTGACAGAAACACACACCCACATTCCCACACATTCCCACACACCCACTCAGGATATAAATTATTCATTTTTCTCTTTCCACATTATTCACAAAGAACCGGACAAACTGAAAATAAAACATCAAAGGTGAAGAAATAGGTCACCAGCTTTTCCTCCAGATGTAAGGGTAAATAGAGACAATAAATACATTACATTGTTGTTGTTTTTAAATATGATAGAATTGAACAAAAGAAGCCTCTAAAATTTAGAGGCGAACATCTGGGCGGTCTCTGCTGCCACCTACTGGAAAGTAGCTGTAAGAACAGAAGAACAACCGACCGACTCCATAAACACCAGTTGGATCTGTGCGGATCTGCATGAATAATTACTCAAAAAATAATGAAAAAATTTTAAATTATACATGATTTCCTCCCTAAAACAGAAAAAATCAATTATTTTTCCCTTTTTGAAGTAAAACCAACTGTTATTTTTATCCTGTGTCCGATTTCTAGGGCAGAATTGCCCATCAAATTTACATTAAAATGTAGTTACTTAAGTATCGGTATTATTTCTAATATTGAGAAATAACTGAATGAATAATTATCTAAAATATTGGTGTATTTACAGAATGTGATAGACAGAGATAGATGGACAATGTGAGAAGTTTGATGTTTCAGGAAATTCTCATTAGTGAGAAACATTTGTTCCTTTGAGAAGGTGTAAAGCTGTGAGTAGGAAGATTATGTTTTAGTATTTTGTGCAAATCTTATATTTTGTGGCCACAAATGAGTATTTCTTGGGAACAAATTAATATTTTTGGGGGGAAAAAATAATATTTTGTGGGAACAAATTAATGTTTTGTGGAATCAAATCGTCTGTTTTAGGGGAAAAATAGTTTTTCGTGGGTACAAATTAATATTTTGTGGGAATGAATTACACACACTATATCTC